TCACTACCGGTTGTATTATTAGTTAGAAGGTGTAACTTCAATTTAATTCTGAATCATGGAATGTCATCATTCGGTGATTTGCGTCATTGTGGGCTTTAATCGTCCGTTGAATTTGTACCATTTCTACACTTTGGAATATTTCTAGCGCCTTTATCCTTATAGCATATGTGTTTGTGGGTATATGTGCACATATTTGTTATAGATGACGAATGTTCACTCATGAACTAGTTTCAAGTTATCACACCAACGGCGTGGTTAACTCGAACAATTGAAATGCGACGTTTGCGGGCATGAAAATATGTCCGATTATTGGGGCCCGCGCGTTTCGGCTGCGCTTGTGGCAACGAAGGAGTTAATGGCTAGCCTCTTTTTTCCTCTCCTCGTGTTTTTTTCTTCACATTCCTTGTCAGTTGTTTTCAGACCTCAACAAAACTGCAAGACTGGACCTTCTCGTACTGCACTTCTACTTCACATTTATGGGGTGTGGGATAGACTTACCTCCACGTGGTACACCCTGGGCAACGTAGACTCATCATACGGCAAAAAAGTCTATTAACCGGCAGTTGACTTCTCACTTCAAACTACCATCACCCCCACTGTATGTCATATTCGACCCCTACCACAATACTCATCTTTCCCTTTCTGAGCCTTTGTGTCTGTCTGTTTCTTTTACATCTGTGGATCACTCTTCTATTCCCCCTCCTGAATTCTTCTTACTTTGATGTTCCTCCTCCCCTCTGTGAAACCCGAAGTAAACTAAAGGGCTAATGATAACTATCAAAACGCCTGCCATTTGTTATAAATAAACCTCACATTTATTGAATGTTACCTTTGTTGTAAATTAGCCGATGAGTCACCATCCTTCTGTGCGCTGTGAGATCAATATTTTTGTAATTACTTAAGTATAGCAGTACACTCTTAGTTCATTCAACAGCGATCAATTCTCTGCACTTAATAAAATTGTTGGAACACTTGAACTCACCTTCCAGATTGTCCAATTCAAAGTAATTGTTAACTTCAGACTGGTCAAAAGCTCTCTTGGTGAACGAAAAGCCAACAGTGAAGTGATGAGGTGGGCAAATCCTCTCACATATTTACCCAACTGATATTCGTTAAGTATTGGCCAGTTGTCATAAAATGTAATTAAATATATATACTTTTAATGACATGGCGCCTTTTGAATAATAATGCCATAATCAAATAGTAGATTAATACAACTGATAGAACTTGCAAATGGATTTCTTCAACAAATGAAATCCTAGCCGTATTATTTCGATCTGCTTATTACTATTCAAAATTTTCCCCCCGAAAAATCAATAAGTCTTCGGTTAGAATCAGTCACCATTTTAAAAATATAGGGTGCCCCAAAAAGTGTATAAACAATAAACCCTATTGTAAACGTGGCGTTCAATTAGAATTTTATTGTTCATTTTTCCACAGTCTGTTCTCAAACTGACCGCAATTTCGAACCAGTCAATGCCAAGCAATGGAATCGCACACATCGTGAAGTTATTCCCTTGGCATTCATTCGACGCATTCATGCTCAATGGATTCGCTTAATTCAATGACTGCTGCAGGTTTTCTAGAGTAGACTCTGTCTGTTAAGTCTAGTGGTGTGAGGTCTGGTGAATGAGGAGGATATTCAACAAAAACCACATGTTTGGCAAGACCTCGTCAAGGAAAGACCTAACACCTCGATGGTAATGTGGGGGTGCTCAGCCTGAAGGAAATAAAACTCTTCATCTTTAAGGTCTTCTCTAATGCTTGGAATCACAGAATACTGAAGAAAGTTTAAGGGAATGGGGACTGGATACAGCAACGCCAAAAAGGAACAGTCCAATTAATCCACTTGATGAAAAACCGCACCACACTGTAATTCCAGGTAAATTGACATGACTTTTGACAGCAACGTGTGGATTCTCAGATAACCCCAATGAGTGCAATTATGGCGGTTAATGTAACCGTTTAACTTGAATGTTGCCTTGTCACTCCACACAATCTTTCATGAAAAAAGTCTACTTTTCCCACACATTGTCCTACATACCACTCCCAATATTGTACTCCTTGGTCTGGGTCATCGTTATTAAAAGAAAACAATTTAAAAAAAACAATAAAATGGTACTTGTAAATATTGTTTTCACTTTTGAAATACTGAATCCTATATATTAGAGTTACCATGGGAAAACCGCTCCTTATAGAGGCACTGAATTACCCAAAGAATATGACCACTTCCGTCAAGCGCTCTGTGCACTTACAGAGGAACTTCTTTGGGTATAAATTCTAGACATAACAAAGTCACTACATCCGCATACTGAGCAGCGGTCCGCGGAAGAGGAGAAAAGTAAGAATCGCAAAAAAGGACGGTGCTTTTTAGAAATTGAGGCAAATAAGCAGTGCATTTACGTGAAAAAGTGGCCAATGAACATCTCGCTTATTGCATTGTTCAATGGTGAATCAGATGGGAGGTGGGGGTGGGGGNTATATATATATATATATATATATATCAGCCTAATGGCACTTGGCTGTAGAAAGACCAAGATGAATCTCGTGTTGTTGTATAGGGACAGGAGTTGAACACAAGTAGAAGAAAAAGTGAGTTCTAGCGAAGTGGAATTCATTCGTTTTCAGCTATCAAGCTTCATTCCCTAGGGGTGCGTGATAGACTTACCTCCACGTGGTGCACCCTGGGCAACGTATACTCATACGGCAAAAAAGTCTATTAACTGACGATTGAATTCTGGCGCAGTACTCATCCTACCTTTCCTCTGCCTTCATGTCTCTCTCTTTACATCTGTAAATCACTTTTCTGTTTCATGTCTGTCTCTTCACATCTGTAAATCACTCTTTTGTTCTCCACCCCTCGACTTTCTGTTACTTTGATGTTCCTTCCCCCTTTGAAACCTCGACTTTCTTCTACTTTGATGTTCCTTCCCCCTGTGAAGCCCGAAGTCAGCTACTTTGATATTCCTTCCCCCTGTGAAGCCCGAAGTCAGTTAATGATAACTATCAAAACGCCTGGCATTTGAAATAAATAGATAAATAAGCTTCCTTCCCAAGATTTCCAGAACAACATAAGATGGAATTATATGCTGCGGGCCAAATTCGTCGATAGTTGGCTCAAGCCGCAAAACCGGAAATTTGCGGCATGATGTATCCTTTTAAACGTCAGACAATGACCATTTCAAATATTTGGAAATCCTTGTAAAAATGAGTACGTTTTCGCGAACTCAATTAAGTTGAATTTATTACAATTAAGAGATTCCTCATGCTTTCAATTTAATCATGGAGTGTGCGTGTGCTTCTTCATAAAAAAATCTTGTTACTTACAGTAAAACAAAATTCGTTATACTTCCTCATGCCAAGCAATTCAATAAACTTTTCGTTGACCAAAAAATGCCTCCCTTCCTCTAATCGGGGGAGGGGGGGGGGGGAACTTCATTGAGAAATGACAACAGGGAGCTATACAAACGATTGTAAAGTCAACATTTTACCAATTGTCAAAAATAGGGGGACAGTTTTCGGAATGATTTTAGCCTAAAGGTTAATTGTGTGTGCGATAGACTTACCTCCACGTGGTGCACCCTGGACAACGTGCGATAGACTTACCTCCACGTGGTGCACCCTGGGCAACTTGCGATAGACTTACCTCCACGTGGTGCACCCTGGACAACGTGTTCTCATAAGGCAAAAAAAGTCTAGAAATTGGCAGTTAACTTCTGACTTCAAACTACCATGACCCGATTGGATGGCATATCCGACTACCTTCACAGTACTCACCTCACCTTTTTTCTACCTCTGTGTCTGTCTCTTTTGCATCTTTGAAATGCTCTTCTGTTCCTCTCCCTCTTCACTTATTGTGACATTGATATTCCTCCCTTCTGTGAAGCATTTCATTTAAAGGAGAATGCAGTTCTTCAAATGTATTTGCCAATATTATAAATGCAATAACTGCTAACGAGCGCGTTATCTTTCCTTGTTAGAAGTGACATTTGTGCACAAGCTTTCCTTCTAATTTACTGAAATTCACCGCGGAAATGGCAACGAAAGAAAACGAAGTCTCTCCCTCTTGCGTCTTTCCGATACAAAATTCACTCGATGATATCACTATCAAGGAATTGCGAGGAGGAAAACCGTAAAAAGCTAAATTCGCTGAAGGTGCATCCCAGTGGTCTTCAAACATTGGAAGATTATTCCCAAATACCCTTCCGACCTACTGAGTCATTGAGAGTTTCTAGCTAATCGATTAAATAAAAAAAACAAAAGAAATATTCAACTGCACCCTTTTCCATAATAAGATTTAAAATAATCAATAATTTTTTGGCTAAATATTAGTTGTGGATGCTCATGAAGCGGTTGAGCTACTAAATCTGAAATGAATATGCTGAAATGTTTGACGAGGAGCTGCTGAAATCTGCTGAAATTACACTTACTAAAACGAGGATAGACTATAATCTTCAAATTTAAAAAAAGCTTAAATCATTTTAGGGATCCCTTATACAATCCATGTGAGAGGTAACTGACAATCTCGAGATTATCATGAAAAAAACAGATTTCAAGCTTCTAACAAACCTTTAAGAATTCTGGGTTATTATTCCCCTCCTCTTGCAATCGTGGAATATATTTAGGATTAGAAGGCAAGAGTTCTCAATTCTCATCTTGACGTTACTAAACCGGTAAAACTACTGCTTTTCTAATTCGGGTGACTCAGTGGCTTTTGAAATGTCTACATTTTAACGACAGAAGTATTGGTTTTTAACCTTCGGGTCAAAACCACGTTTTTGTTGTTGGGTCTTCCATTCAGTTCCTTGATTTACGCGCTTGTGCTCCCGTACTAGCATATGTGTAATGAGTCACAATCGGTCAATGGCATTGGATGTTGCTAGACCAGTCAAAATCATCTACCAATAGATGCCAAGCCGAGTGCACGCGTACACGCAGCAGCTGTTGTGAATATATTTACTTCGGTCAGTTCTCCTTTCTTAGTGTGTCCAGCTGCAAACATGCGGAGCTGTTTCCTAGTCTTCCTCTTTCTCAGTCTGCTCCTATCCCTCCTCTGTCATCATGTTGAGGCTGGTTGTTTTTGTGATCACGAGGCCTGCACTTGTAGTGGAGATGACATAGTAGATATCACCGGCCTTTTATCAGAATCAGTTTGCCCCTCTGGGTATTCTTACAGCAGGCTTGTAATAACTAGGGTCCCTAACCTCGTAAATATCCCAGATGGATTTGGTATTCTCCAAGCTAGTCCTTGCAGTGGACTTCAAGAACTCGAGGTTCTTGAACTGCATCAAACTGGAATTCAGAACTGGTCTTCCACATTATTTCAAGGTCTTCCTCATCTGAAAACCCTCGATATTTCAAATAATTCCTTCTTAACCTCCTACCGAGATGGAGTTTTTGAAAAACTTGGTGGTTCCCTAGAAGAACTAATCGCTATGGATAATCGGGTTCGTTCCTTAACTCGGCGTGCCTTTGCGGGATTGAGAAATCTTAAACGCTTAATCCTAAGTAGAAACAAGATTGGTTACTTTGAAGAAGGCGTATTCTCCTCAACTGGAAATCTTATAGAACTTTCCCTGGATGGCAATATTCTCACTGATTTGGAAAATGGCACATTTCTAGGTCTTAACAATCTCCAGTCGTTGGATCTACGAGGAAATCCGCTTCAGCTACTTTATCCAGGCATATTCTCCTCATTTGCTAATACATTAACCCACCTCTGGATGAGCCATGATGATTTTGTCACTTTTGGAGGATTTGACACAATTCCTACCGGTCTCTTTACCGGAATGTCCAGCCTAGTGGAGCTTTCTATGGTTGAATTGAAAATTACCAACCTAACCACGGAGTCATTTAAAGGACTGACGAATCTTCGTCGGTTGTCTCTTCATGGGAATCGATTGACTTTACTTCCAAAGGGCTGTTTCACTCCTTTAATTAACTTGGAAGAGCTTGATCTTTCTGCCAATGGAATGGTTTGTATTCCAGATAATTCTGATGAATATTATCCCAAACTCCGCTTTCTCAATCTATCTCTGAATGGAATTACTCATTTAACCAAAAGATCTTTCTCCATGCTCTCCTCGTCGAAACCTACGGCTAAATTTCCCAGACTCATTGTGAATATCTCATCTAATCCGATCCGAAGAATTGAACCAGACGCGTTTTGTTACTTCAAAGGCCCACTTGAGCTCATTCTAGCAGGTGAACATCAAGAGCCTCCATCTTGGGCAAGTATGGCGAATTGGCCAGATAATCCATTCGCTTTAGTCGGAAACGAGAGTATTATCCATGGATTAAAGCCCTCTGAAGTAATAGGAGGTCGTTCAGATGCTGCGGCCTTCTGTGGTCCCGAAGGATCTCTCTTTCGCGACAAAATTCTTGCCTCAGATATGTATAAAAACTCCAAGTATACAGAAAAAGATATTGAGAACTCCCTCAATTCTGAATGTCCGTGGATGGTTCCTGATGAGTTATCCCCTTGGCAGTTGGCAAAGCTTGGCGTTCCTGGTGGAAAACATGGCGCAATTGCTTTGGAAGAGGGATCTCGAATCTACCTCCTGATCATTGTCGCAGTTTGCATCACGTTTCTCTTGGGCGCACTGACAATAATAATGTGTTATCGCACATGGTCAAGACGAGCCACCCAGAAGGTGACAATGGATGTCGAAGCTAATATTGGAAATGGAAACGGAGTTGGATCTCATAATATGGAAACCCTTGCCACGATTGGCGAAGTGCCCGAGAAAACCGATTTGTTGGAGAAACCGAAGAATGGAAAACCGCATCCTCCTGTCGAGGACAAAGAAGGCAGCCCTAAAGAGCACATTTCCAGAACGGGAAGAAGGAATTCAGAACCCCGAGGAGAGGAGCTTGAAACCATGACTGCATTTGGAGTCATCTAGATCATAACTTTGTAAATTGATTCCCCTACCATTCTATATTTCCAATCTTATTCCCTTTTGGAGTCTGTGCGTATTTCACTCTAGTCTCGTGTAAAGCGCCGTTGAGTCGTGAAGACCGATGTTTTACTCTTCCTTTTATCCCAATCTGACATCCGAAAACTCCTCTTCTCCACTCTTTGTACACATTGTGACACCGAATTTTCCTTTGTCTTTTTTCTTTTCCTGAGTTTATATTATATACATATATGTATATATATATATATATATATATATATATATATATATATATACATAATACGAGTATGTAAGTGCCTGGAACCCCTTTTAACATGGAGTCGTGTTTTCAGGCTCTGGCTTTGTCAAGAAAATATATTTGAACATTATCGATTCAATTACCTTCCACTTTTTGCAATTATGATTGGTTGAGGAATAAATGGGTGAACCACACAATGAAGCAATAAGGCAACAGGGTAATGTGGGTGCTGATGGAGGTTTGATGGTGTGTTTAGGTGTTTTTATTAAAACTCCACAAGGCCGTTTTCAAAGCGTGGGACTTCAATTTCTCGCTGTGGATATGAATTTGGATAATAGCTCAAAGGTTGGTGTACTGTCACTTGAAATCATTAAACGCCTTTTTTGGGTGAAGCGGCCAAAGAGTAAAACTCTGTAATGCTTTAAGGGTATGCAAGAGAAGCGTCGTAAGAAACTCTTCTGAATTGGCACCAATTAAATGGTTGGCATATCTGCTTTAGTCGTGGGGGGGGGGGGGTTTAAAGCCAAGTGGGGCGCTTTGTTGTCATTATCAAGTGGCGTATAATTGTGTTATTTCTCATCGTATTTATATCAAATGGCAGGAATTTGATATTTATCATTAGCGCTTTAGTTGACTTCAGGATTCACGGAGGGTGAAGAGCATCAAAGTGAAAAAAATTCGAGAGGGGGGGGGACAGAAGATTGTTTCAAAGATGTAAAAGAGGCAGACACAAAGGTAGAAAAAAGGTGAGGTGAGTACTGTGAGAGTAGTCGAATATGACACATTGGTAGCTTGAAGTCAGAAGTCAACTGCCAGTTAATGGGCTATTCACCGGAATCTTTTCGCCTTTGTTCTATTAGGAGCTTTAGGGTAAGATATGGTTCACTGTATAATGAATAGAATTTGTGCTGTGGAGAACATCAAGTCCTGTTTCTAAAGATTTTCCACAATGCGCATCTCTGCACGCAAGGAATTCCAGAAAATTTCGATTTCTTTTTAAATACCCCCCACCCCACCCTCCCTGTGCATACCTACTTACCACGCGTAATCAGAACTTAATTTGATTTCGGGAAACTTTAACTCCATTCGGTGGAATGTTAAGATCCCAGGCTGCGAAATAGCATGTAAAATGGTTTGTCTTCTCTACCGTTGGAGAAAAAATTAAATTGAAGTAACAAGACCGTCTTTTTATGAGCACTGAAAATCAAAGACAATCCAAATCGATAATCATGCAATTAGAATCATTTAAGGTTGACTTTCACTTCCTAAAAGTCAAGGGTGAAGGTACGACTCTCTTAGTATATTCGAATTCCCCCCCCCCCTTCACCAGCTTCTTGGGTGCATTTTACTGATTCAATCTGCTTTCCGCAATTGTAAATTACATTTTTTTTGTTGTAGTGTGAATAATAATAATAATGGTAAATGTCACTTGGTATATCAATTAACAATTCTTAAAACGCAAAAAACCGTAAACCTACCCTTAATTGTACTTAATTCTACTTATTTGTGAACTTTATTCAGATTTGCTCCCTTTTATTGATTTCTCTTAAAGTATTTTAAAAGTGTCTCATTTAAGTCAATAAATAAATATATTACTCATCGGCATACATTCGGTGGTAAATCGAATCCATTAATGAGCAGCAGAATGTGCGCGTCATTGGGTTCCGCAAGGATTTCTATTTCCACTCGCGCATGCAAATTAATTAGATTAAGTCCATTGAATAAAAATAACAAGCTAATTTTCCCATAAAGGAAACGAGGGAGACTGAAAAAGAAAACAATATTATGTCAAGAGTGGTCAGTGTTATTTTGTGCACGAAATCTTATTGGTCAGAGGTGGTGGTGGAGGAGGGTGGGAGG